TGTTTCTTGAAAACATTACCCACTGTAGTATGTGACGTGTGAATAAACTCCAAACACTGTTGTGTAACTTCAGTTAAATACTTGTATGTGTGTAGATTAGAAAGAGGTAAGATAAAGGATCTGCAGTATTTTATGAAGTATTAATCGTACAAAGGTCAGTTTTATACAAGTAGAAGTGTGTATTTACCTGGTAGTAGGCTGTCAGTAATGGCTACGCCTCTCTATTTGGACTGGTAGATCTCGGCAGACTGGCAACTTTAAAAGTATGCTCTCGGTTCAAAAAAGGTTGGGCTGCTTTACCAGGATTTTTGTATACGTTATGGTGGAGGGTATATGCTTTATACATCTGTAAAGGGTTGTGTCTGAGATTCAAATCCAAAACACCTTTTTTGCAAATCAGAAAATAAACTCACAGTTGTCTGGCTTTGCGTTCTGTGTGCCTCTGAATAATAAATTGGTGTTCATTCACAGCCCTGTCTCTGTAAATGGGAAACAAACAAAGTGTCTGAGATAAACAACGCTGTTCCAGCCAGGAGAGCAAAACCTTCTGAAGGAGCCCTGCTTGTTTGGGGGTTGAATTCAAATATCAATGGCTGATTTGTTGCACCAAGAGATGCAAGCTAACAATTGAAAACACTTTCAGAAAGGTTTATTTGCGTAATAAGAAAACATAAAATGACGTAATGATCAGTCATTTCCCATATTTCTTGACATACTGTCTTGTATTTTCCACTCTTGGTATATATACTTCCACCTCATACAGATCCCCCCCATTACATTACCTAAAAGTGTATTTGTTGAGGACCATTTAAAAATCTTCTCTCCCCCTACACAGAAAAAACTGAAACGTTGACTTAAAGGTCCCATGACATGGCCATTTCTACTGATCATAATTCCATTGTTGAGGTCTATTAGAATAGATTTACATTGTTCAATGTTCCAAACTCACATTGGTTTCTCATACAGCATGTCTGTATAGTATGTGTATTCACTCTCTGTCCTAAACGGCTTGTTGGAGCTCCTGCCCCCCCCTCCCTATGAGCCCACTGTGCTCTGATTGGTCAGCTCGCCCACTCTCTTCTGATGAGTCCACCACCGTTACAGCGGAACATCAGTGATTATGTGTTTCAATGGCGTTTGTTAGCAACCAGAAAATGACACCAGTAATGACAAACAGATGAGAATGCTGCGTGGGGTCTGGGTGCCGTGTTGGCGGGACGTTGCGGGGCTCGCTGCTCCACCCATTGAGGCTCGAGGACAGTGTGAGCTGGATTACTGGTGTCGTTTCCTGGTTGCTGCGTGGGGTCTGTGAGACAGCGAGACACCGCGGAACTTAGCCTGAGTGTGTGTTTGTGCGGAGATCCGCGGAGCCGCGGCTGAGAAAATATAAGGCTGAGTGAGTATGTGTGTGTGAGGAGCTCCGCAGATTGGTCCATTTGGTCCTGGGTATCGTTACGTCACTATACTCAGGAAGAAAAACATGGAAAAAGAGAAATCTCCAACGAGGCGTTCTGGGGCAGCATAGACAGGTATTTTCTGTGTTAGAGTTTTATTCGCTACAGGGTGTACTTTGAGGGTTTGTGACTCTGCAGACCGGTTACATGCAGAACAAGCTACATAACACACAAGGGGACGGGTAATAACCGTTAAAGCATGTAATGGGACCTAAAAGCATTAAGAATTAAAAGCAATAATATTAAGTTGAACCTAATATTTTGTTATTATTATTTATGCTTAATATTATTGATTTCAACTAAACTCATAGAGTTATGTTAAATCTGTTGAGATAATACATCTAATTAAAGTAAACGTTTCGTTCTTATGTCCCCCCACTTTTCAACAAAGGAACACCTTGGCCTCCCAACTCCAGCCTTTGGTCCAAATGAGGATTTTCTGGATATCAGACAAAGTGGGGTTATTTACAAGATCTATTGGATATAACACATAATTGGAAGCAAACCAATAGGAAATCACATTTCATGTTTTGAAATAAGATAGACTTGTATTTTATATTTGGTCTTACTGGTTTAAATCAAAGTGACAAGCACAACTGCTTTTTTCAAAGAAGGAAAATAAATGTTATGTTGAAAAATTATATATACACACACACACACACACACACACACACACACACACACACACACACACACACACACACACACACACACACACACACACACACACACACACACACACACACACACACACACACACACACACACACACACACACACACACACACACACACACACACACACACACACACACACACACACACACACACACACACACACACACACACAAAATACCTGTGAGGATACACAGAGATCTGGCATTAGATGTGACTCACGGGGAAACGCTTGATCCAACATCTGAGGCGCTCTGCTAATGGCTGCTGCGTCAAAAAACGACACACCATCATGGTTAGACTCGTGCAGTTCACTGAGGAGCAAACTAGTTTAAAATGTATCCTTGGTATGTACACTTTTGCTCATTTTGTGTCCAGTTAGAATTAGTAAGGCCAGAGGTCGGAGAAGTACTCAGATGTTGTACTTAAGTAAAAGTAAAAGTACCAGAGTGTAGGAATACTCAGTTAGAAGTAAAAAAAAAAGTCCTGCATTCAAAATGTTACTCAAGTAAAAGTAGAAAAGTATTAGCATCAAAATATACTTAAAGTAGCAAAAGTAAAAGTAGTCATTGTGCAGATTGGGGAGAGTGTGATAGTGCCAGAGGTGCCTGAGTGCAAGAAACAGGACCATACTTCGGTGCAGAGCAGGGAGAGGAGGGGAGGGAGGGAGGGAGGGGGCAGCAGAGCCTGGACTGAGACTCTTCACCCGAGTGTCACTGAGATCATGATGCCGTCAGAAAATGGAAAATATATAACCCTGTGTTTGTGTGTCTGGACAGCAGCAGCAGACATGTGCTGCATTAGAGAGAATAAATAGGAGCATGTCCGTAATGAGCTCAGAGGTTGAGGTGGTTCAGAAGAGGATCAGGTGGAGTGTGGCGCCATCTGCCTGTCACTGCTGCTCCTTCCTGTTGCATTCAATTCAATGGAGTCATGATGGAGGTGGATATGCAGAGATTTAAGGACCTGGGATCAACCAATATGGGTTTTTGGAGCCAGTATGGTGTGCTGAAAGGCAGGATTATTTAAATATGTATTATAGCATGCCAACAGATTAAAGCCAGTTGTGGAAAGTAACTATTTGATCAAGTTGTTATTTTTTCAAGATTCAAAGGTTTGTCATGACATAAACACAACTACAGTGTAATTATGTAATGTAGGAAGACTTAGATTGCAGGTTCCTCAACAGTGCAATTTACAAGACATTCAAAAATATATATAAAAGATAGTGCAAGCTCAGGTGTTTAATAGTCTTATGGCCTTTGGGTTGAAACTGTCTCTGAGTCTGGTGGTCTTTGTCCTGATGCTGCAGTACCACATTTATTTGAACATTCATAGTTACTTTGCACTTATAAAAACCATAGACTGTATGATAAAAACAAAATATGGCTCAACATTCACCAACCAAAATACTAAAATGCTCTTACCTGATACTATAATAAGCATTATAATAGTATACTGTGAAAAGATCCATTATGCTATACGAGTACCTTTACTTGTTGTACTTAAAGTAGAATTTGCTAATACTTTTTTGTTTTTCAGTTAAGTAACATTTTGAAATCAGGACTTGTACTTGTAATAGAGTATTTTAAGGCAAAGTGTTCCACTAAATTTGGCCTATAGCTTATCCTATTAATACCTGGCTCTTCAATCATGAAATGATGTTGTGAATGTCTGCATACCAAATAGATTCTCTTATGCCCCTTTCACACCGGCGCTTTTCCAGCTCCTGCTGGGAGCTAGAGCCTGAAAAGCGCCGGTTTTTCCTGTTCACACCGCAGCGGCGGCGCGTCATAGCTCCGGAATGCGGTTCACTTCCAGCTCCAAAAAATTGTCGGTCCAGAGGCAAGAGCTTCGGAGCTATGACGCGGCGTCGCTTACGTCGAGGCGTGCAGGACCCCTTACTTTGACCATCCGTTCACTGTTATTGATCATTGTGGAGAGCAGGCAGACGTTTTGTTTTGTATTATAGCAGCTATCGGATGGAATCAATACATGGGCTGCACAGGTTGTCATGTCCGACTATCACAAGTAGAATCATAATGAAAAATACGCCGGTAAAATGTGCCTGTAGAAAACGGCTTAGCAAGTAGTCAGTTTAGCTTCGGTTGCTATGCTAACATCACCCATGTTATACCAGAGAAACTTTCATAACAGCGTTGTGATGCCAAACAGCGTCAATTCAGACTGACACACATTCACTTAAGGGGAACTGGGGATATGTATCAGCTGCTTGTGTGACAGTCAGACAGTGAATACTTTAGAGCCGTGTGAGCTAACCCGGAGCTAACGGGAGAATACACTCCCGTGGAAGAGCAGCAGCACTGCAGCGGTCGGTAAATGCCGCTGAAACACATTAATAAACAATGAACCACGGCACTCTGGAGAAAAGTATAAGGTTGGAGAAGTCGTTATTTAATTTAATCTGACTTCGTATGATTAAAAGCAACACGATCATCGACCCGACGCAGTCCCCGGCCCGTTGTTGTTGTGGGAGAAAATCAGCGACGTAAACTGTGACGTCATGACGCAGCAGCGGCAGCTCTGGGCAGTGTGAACAGAGCGGGAGCTGAAAAGGGAAACCGGAGCTGAACCAGAAAAGCTCTCGCTAGGAGCTAGAAAGGGAAAAGCACTGGTGTGAAAGCCGCATCAGTAAACTATTTCCTTTTATTATGACATGAGTTCCAGCAAAACGTCCAGATATTTAAAAATCTACCGAACTACTTTTCCATTGTAGCACAATTTAGAAGCCACATTCAGAGTTACAACCCGAGGTTCAAGTTCCATTCCTCCGGAATGAAAACACTGCTCCAACAAGGCACCAGAGGAAAATGTTGGAACGGTTCATGGGACAAAAACACAAACACGTTTCTTTCATTTACAATTCCTTTAATTGTTTCTGCAGTTTTGAAACATGTGTTTTCCAACACATACTAAGAGCCTTCAGGAACAAAAATCTAATAACATGTCATGACAGAGAATCTTATTCCGTGTTTGTGTCATCACTGGTTTCCGCCAGCGACCAGCTTGGATGTGAGCATAATCCCAGAAACTTGACAGAAACTGGCAGAAATGCTGAAGTAGTCCCAGTGTTGACTTTTATTGCTTTGTTCTCAAAGATGGTTGTGGCTGCACATATTCTTTATGTGTGAAATATCCCTTTCTGAGCCTCAATGAGAGGAACATTGGCCCTAAAGTCAATGAATCCATGTTTTCTGAGTGTCCTGCCAGCCTTATGTAATCCGTCAATTTGCTGGAGTGAATTAGTAGTAATGGCTCCCAGACTGGCTCAAGGCTTAAAAAATAAACAAAACTAAACATTGAACAACAACAGACTAGTCGTCATCCGTTTTGCTTTTCTTCTTCTTTTTCTTCTTTTTTCCAGAGCCTTCTACTGCATCACCATACAAAGTGTCCATTGGTTCACATTTCACCTCCACCTTCACACTGGGCTCCAGGCCCTCCTCCACCTCCTCTCGCTCCCTGTCCTTCTTTTTCTTCTTCTTTTTCCTCTTCTCCTCACCTTCCTGAAGGGGGAGCTCCGTCATTTCTTCCTGTATTTCAGTAACCGGTTCCTGTTTTACAGCCCTCTCCGCCTCCTCCACACCTTCCGTCTTTATCCGCTTTTCTTTCTTTTTCTTCTTCTTCTTTTTCCGCCCTTCCTCGTCTTCCACCTGCCATGTTTCTCCTGCAGGTCGCTTCACTACGAGGGGTTGGAGAGTTGCAGACGAGGGCCCGAATGTGGCTCCGTCTGCTTCGCTCTCTGCCACGCAGGTCAGCGTGGGGGTCCTGCTGCCGAAGGGGTGGAATCGCTGCTTTAGCCCCGGGGGGATGGAGGGTGCGGGGGCCGCGGGGATGACCTGGGGGGCCTGGTTGGCGCTGCGGTCTCCGTAAGTCTCACACACGTTCAGCAAGCCAGAAAAAGCGGGGCCGAAAACCACATCATGTGAGGACTTCTTGGTGCTGGTGAGCAGGCGCAGGCCGGAGGTGCCGTGGGGGGAGGCCAGGAGGCTGTAGATCTGATGCTTACTGCCTGTCTTAGCTCCAGTAGGAACCTTCAGGGACTTGAGACCTGAGAGGGGGACCTTCACCTCACTGAAACTGAAGGGAGGAGAGGCAAGGTCAGGCTCATTCACACAAAGCATGCTGGGAACAGTTTACACCAACAACATTGTTTTATCTACTTTTGGAGAACATCTCTGATGTTTTAGCATGAAGACCCTCTACAGCCCCACCTGCTGGCCACCACACACACACAAACTGCCCCACTGTCAGGCTGACTTTTTTTTATATATATACATATATATATTAATATTGTATTTGAATCAAAAATCTTCTTTTTTTAAATTATTATTTCTGAAGTAACTTTATAATTATTTAATTTTAATTTTATTGAATGGTCAATGAACTGCAGCAACTGTCCCTTACATCACTCATAATGTTTGCTACTGGAGCCTTACTTGGTCTGGTATGACCGGTAGCTTATGATGGCTAACCGAAGCATTTTAGATATTACTCGCATTACTAGCTTTTTGCTATCATTTGCATGAGTCCTAAATCACATAATTTAGTCAGCATTTTACCACTTCTGGGTCCCCTGTTGCAAAGTCAATGTCTCTTTAACAAAACGTGTAAATATCATAAACAAGTTTTGCCACAGAGTTCATTTTGTGAAATAATCCGATTTACAATAGAAAAATCTAAAAATAATATGTCACCACTGCACCACTCTATAGGCGCGTTCACACCGCAGTACTTTTCCCACTTTAGTTCCGATATAGTTCCGAAATGTTGCGTTCACACCAAAGAAATCCGGAACTAAAATTAGTTAATGAGAACCTTTTTACCCCCTTTTTTTAACTGCGGTCAAGCCAGTCTCCACTTCGGAAAACACAGTCAAGCCAGCATCTGCGTTGTTTTGCGGTGCGTGAATATCCTATGCATTACGGTAGCGGTCTGGAAAAACTGCCTTCAAAATAATAGTGCTTACTCGGTCAATAACAATTATACCAAACATATTAAAATATGTACTATATAGGCCTAATGTGATCAATAATAATGTAAGACAAACTACGTATAACTACCACATTATAACTGACTGAATGTAAAACTTAAAGAGTTTCAAAATAAAAGACCTTTGAAGTCTCATATATGAGCAATCATCCTTCTGTTTTTAGATGAGAATAAAACAAAAACTGTCCAGTATCAAATACTTATTTCACTTCAGGGTGATAGCAGGACACCCCATCTAGTCACTCAGGGAGAATCAGGACAATCTGATGTGGAGTTTCAAAATAAAATACCTTTGAAGTCTCATATATGAGCTATCATCCTTCTGTTTTTAGATGAGAATAAAACAAAAACTGTCCAGTGTCAAATACTTATTTCACTTCAGGGTGATAGCAGGACACCCCATCTAGTCACTCAGGAAGAATCAGGACAATCTGATGTGGAGTTTCAAAATAAAATACCTTTGAAGTCTCATATATGAGTTAATATGCGTTAACGCAAAAAAAAATGAACGCCACTAATTATTTTAACGCGATTAACGCATGTGTATTTTTTGTCCTCGGCCGCCCCGCCCCGTAGTTTCAGAGCGCATCGAGTTTAAAATACCATCTACAAGCTGATGCTGACAGCCCCGCTACCGCCGCCCGCTTGTGGCAGACCACACTTCCACGCTCACCGTCAGGCCCGGACTGGCCATCGGGAGGACCGGGAGGGTGTGTGTATGTGTGGGGCGAGCGAGGCACACCTTACGTGTTGTTGTTGTTAGCATCTGGTGCTAGCTAGCTGCGCTAACGGATATAAGGAGCTGTTTCAATAAAAACAGAGGAGCGACATTTCGCCGACAACTGCGCCGAGCACTTGACTTTATGCAGGTAGCCAGACAGTGGGACATTGTACGAAAAGTCAGCACACTCAGTGCGCGCAACATGATTGCAGCGTCCATGCAGCTCCCGTTCGAGCATATATGCCTTGAGCTGCACATAGCTCCAACGACACACACACACACACACACACACACACACACACACACACACACACACACACACACACACACACACACACACATCACACACACACACACACACACACACACACACACACACACCACACACACACACACACACACACACACACACACACACACACACACACACACACACACACACACACACACACACACACACACACACACACACACACACACACACACACACACACACACACACACACACCACACACACACACACACACACACACACACACACACACACACACACACACACACACACACACACACACACACACACACACACACACACACACACACACACACACACACACACACACACACACACACACACACACACACACACACACACACACACACACACACACACACACACACACACACACACACACACACAAATTGAGGCGAATATTTGAAATGTTCACAGGTTTAATATTCATGAGAATATTTGTCATTGTTCAAATGATAATAAACAAACATATAAAGCATACGTGTCCACTCATATGTTGATAAGAGTATTCAAAACTTGAAAAATATCCCTCTAAGGTACATTTAGAACAGATACAAAATGTGTGATTAATTTGCGATTAATCGCGATTAACTATGAACAATCATGCGATTAATCGCGATTAAATATTTTAATCGACTGACAGCCCTACTTATTTCACTTCAGGGTGATAGCAGGACACCCCATCTCGTCACTCAGATAAAATCAGGACAATCTGATGTGCAGTTTCAAAATAAAAGACCTTTGAAGTCTCATATATGAGCTATCATCCCTCTGTTTTTAGATAAGAATAAAACAAAAACTGTCCAGTATCAAATACTAATATCACTTCAGGGTGATAGCAGGACACCCCATCTAGTATATTTTTTTAATATTTTTTCTTTTATTTTGACTGACTAGATGGAGTGTCCTGCTATCACCCTGAAGTGAAATAAGTATTGAGTGGCGAAGTCCCTCCCCTTCCGGTGGACCTCCATGGGACCTTATTTCGGAAAAATTATGTATTGAAGTCAATGGAGAGAGAAAGATTATCTTTCGATCCCGTTTGAATTGTGCCACGAATTACACATATGATGTGTGTCAATTTAAAAGATAATTTTGCAAGTAAAAAAAAAAAAATGTGTCGTAAAACTGTGAAGTAACACATTTGTTTGTGTGAAACGCTCAATAAACTACATCTCTGGTCAACAACACACGTCACCAAGATGACCGTCACTACTGTCTTGTCAACAAAACGATTGACTACCCTCACTATCGCCAACAAACACGTCCTGAAGAATGTCATGCAAAGCTGCCTGCATGCCTTCCTTTGATTCTCTCTGAACTGCCTGGTCGTTTTAATGTTTAATGTCAACCATTTGTGCAGATAGCATGAAGTAGAGAAGATCGTCAATGCTAGCGTTAGCATTTCTCCCCCGGGCTTAAATTGTGTATTATAGAATGATCACACCGGTGACAGTACTCTTCAAAGGGTTCACGAAATATGACTACTACTCTTACTGTTTAACATTTTGGGTTACTTAATGTTACTTCATGTTAAGGCTAATAAAAATGACAAGGCTGTAATGCTAACTAACGTGCTAGCTACTAGCTAGCTTGATCCAGACACTGCTGGTCCTTTCATCAGACGGGAAGCGAAAGAACGAGCAAGACCCATTGCTGGTATAATAACAACCTGGTACTAAGCACACAGGCATCTTGTTAAAGTTATCTTATCTTAGCCAGCGCCATATAGATAGATTATATCTATATGGCGCTGATCTTAGCTATTGTGACATCACTTACGCGACTCTGGGATTTTTAGTCTTTCTAGTTACGTATTTTTCATAGTCTTATATTTCAACAGTTTTACGACAAACTGTGACTTTTTTGACATGGAAATTATTTTTTAAGATTGACAAACATCATATGTGTAATTCATGGCACAATTCAAACGGGATCGAAAGATAAGTTTTCTCTCTCCATTGACTTCAATACATTATTTTTCCGAAATAAGGTCCCATGGGGCGGAAGTAGATGGGCGTGACTTCGCCACCCTATTTGATACTGGACAGTTTTTGTTTTATTCTTATCTAAAAACAAAGGGATGATAGCTCATATATGAGACTTCAAAAGTATTTTATTTTGAAACTCTACATCAGATTGTCCTGATTTTCTCTGAGTGACTAGATGGGGTGTCCTGCTATCACCCTGAAGTGAAATAAGTATTTGATACTGGACAGTTTTTGTTTTATTCTCATCTAAAAACAGAGTGATGATAGCTCATATATATGAGACTTCAAAGATCTTTTATTTTGAAACTGCACATCAGATTGTCCTGATTTTATCTGAGTGACTAGATGGGGTGTCCTGCTATCACCCTGAAGTGATATTAGTATTTGATACTGGACAGTTTTTGCTTTATTCTCATCTAAAAACAGAGGGATGATAGCTCATATATATGAGACTTCAAAGGTCTTTTAGACGGGAGTCCCAGCAGCTTCTACTGAAGCCAGTCCCCAACTCCGGGGACTTCTGGCCGGGGACTTCGGGTGGCAGTATACGTTACAGTTGTTTGCGGCCTGCCAGTAAACCCAAAGCAGAAGAAGAAGTGACGTCAGCGGCTTCATTTGCCTAATCATCCCCCAGGGACTTATTCCGGTGTGAACGCGATCTGTACTTAGTTCATGAGAACCTTTGTGGGAAAAGTACTGCGGTGTGAAAGCGCCTTATGTTAACTTGGGACCTATGATTACTTGTACATTAAGCATAAAGGATTTCTGATTCTGACCATCGCTGTCCTGTTAACATGTTCATTTAAAATGATTGGTGCAATGTATGCAGCCTCAAAACTGTGAAAACAAAAGCAGTGATCCACTGTAAAACATATTTTGTTAAGCGAGTCTTTGCTATAGACCAGGGGTCGGCAACCCCTGGCACGCGTGCCACCATTGGCACGCGGCACCGTAACCAGTGGCACACTAGGAATAAGTGGAATAAGTGTGCAAAATATTTAAAAAATATTTTCGGATCCTGAACGAGACCGCCGCCAGAGCGCGTCTCCCCGTTACCTGCAGAAGGAAGCCATGCACGCAACGCAGCCCCGCTCTCTTTAACTCCAGGCGACTTTCTGCCGCTTTCCTCCGTGGTGCAGTGCTGATCGTTTCACCACACTTCACAAATTGCAGTCGGCTACCCATAAGGAGCTGTACAAATGCCGCAGTTTTTGCGTGGCTGTGTCTTTAGTTGAAAGCCCAGTGGCGATCTGCTCATCTCTCATCGAAATAATATGCTACAAAGAGGCGGACAGGCCATCTGTGGAGAATCACAGAACGGACGATCGTCCTTATTATTATGCCGTTTATACCAATTATTTAAAGTTGTTTGTTAAATTCAAAAAACATCATGTAAGTTGCACTGACAGGTCCACACACTGCTTCCCCGCAGCGAGGCTCCCCTCCTCCCCCAGTTGATAATCCACGATCGTCGGCACGCTGATAAAAATTTTTTTTTAATGGCACTTCATATCAAAAAGGTTGCCGACCCCTGCTATAGACAATTGAAAATAATAATTATTCAGCTTGAGGGATAATTTGGAAGTAGTGATATGTTAAATATATATTGAAACAAATGGAAAGGTTAATATCAACTGCCCAATAAAGTGAACAGAGAGAACCTGCCTGTAAGAAAATATAGTTCCTCTTGTAAATTAAACTGGGCATGAGAGCCAGAGATAAAGAAACAGACCAAGGGGAAATATTTCACCTACCTTTCTGGCTTAAAGCTGGCTGGAGCTTTAATGAGCCATAACTCATTGCTGTTTTCCTCCAGACTCTTTTTAAGAGTGCTGCTGCAGGGCTTATGTCTGAAAGACACAAAGTCAGCAGGACACTGGTACTGCTGCATCTTCTTCTCTGTGGATCAGAACAGAACACATTTCAGCACGTCGCAGAGCATTGGAAATACACAGAGCAGCCATGTGCAAACAGTTGTGACTCGTGAGCACTCTTTTTATTGAATTAACTTTAACTTATTACCTTACTTGTGAGTACCTCCCCTATGAAATATTTTCTATGGTGCCAAAACTGTTATTTTATGAAACAGAGATTTGAAAGGCTGGTCATTTAAATGGTATCTCTAAAATATTGGATGACACATTGCCGAGCATCATTTTGAATTAAACTAAACTGATGTTCTTGTTAACATAGATAGAGCTAAGATTATAGATATTGTTTTGTATACACAGTATAACAGGCAGTTGCACTGTACGATGAAATTATTAAGCTCAGCTCTCCACACCTACATATTTAGAAACTATACATACAAACAAACAAACATATAAGATAAAAAGTAGCATATCTATCTATTTATTTATTTTAAATATAAGCTCACATACATTAAACAGTTCTTGTCCCAGAATAAAAGTGCATGATGTGCTGCATGATCAAACTAACAATAGCTACACTTTAAACATATATTGTTCTCTTGCAATGAATCAAACTAGTAGTGTAAACCCTGTATGTGGGGCTGAGCCACTACAGTCTACTGTACTGTGTATTTACTTGCTTGCATTCTATTCCTGAGTAAAGCTGCCAACATGAAGCTGAACTAAACATTAGCAACAGCAGCTTTGTGCATCCGACATGTGAGAACTTACCAGTTTCTTTCTGCTTTACAGATGATCCTGCAGTGTTTTTGCCCTCATCCTCGCTTGATGACATGTCTCTAGGCATTCTTAGGTTTACTAATAACCACAAACTGCTCAAATTACAAGTTTTCTACACCAAAACGCATGGCTACAGTGGACGCACATGTGTTGACGCCAGATGACCTCTGAACTTTAGTTACTTCACTTCCGTGCCAGTTTCTGATGTAGTTCTAAAACAAGCCACTGTACGTTGGTTTGCGTTGACAAAACCTGGGCAGGAAACTCAAACACCCAAAATGCACCTCGAAAGGTTACGTAACGCTTCAGCGTCCGTCGGGAAGCAGTTGACAGCAGCAGACAAGAGCGGGCCGAAGTGGGTAAACAAAACAAACATATGAAAAAAAGAGCAAAGAAAACCGAACACTTTGCTATAATTTTATATCCGTAGGATGTTTAACATTGTTATTAAGCGGCTTGAATTCCGTTAAAGAAGAAAGTCTTTAGCAAAGGAGGGCGTGCACCTGCCAGAGCTAAACAGGTTAACCTAGCTAACGTGTGCTAGCAGCCTCTCAGGTTAGCAGGCTAGCCTTGCAGCCATGTCGTCCCCCTCCTCCTCCCGGCGCCAGTGGTGCTACCTGTGCGACCTGCCGAAGATGCCGTGGACTGTGGTGTGGGACTTCAGCGAGGTGGTTTGCCGTGGCTGCGTGAACTACGAAGGAGCTAATCAGATAGAGTTCCTCATAGCGAGTGCCCGACAGCTGAAACGGACCCATGGGATGCAGGACGGTAACGTCAGGTCACCTGGTCCCTCGCCCAATAAACACGGCACATCTGGCAGAGGAGATGCGGAGGGAGGCAGGCCGCACATGGACCGCTTCGAAAGGGGAGGAAGAGGAGAAGTCACCGTGTCAGCTATTCGTGTGCCCCCCAACGGGTTGCACCGTGACGGCCAGCCTCAACAAGAAGTAAACCGTCAGAGCCCCAGCGGGAGCAGAAGACCCATGCTAGGCGCTACTATCAATCCTAACCTCGTAACTCAAAGTATCGCAGGGATTCCCCATGGGCTACTTGCGGGCATGACGGCGGGTCTGACCGCCAGGACAGCCCCTATGAGTAACCCCATGAGCAACCCCATGATCTTCCCTGCACCGGTGCTGTCCGAGATGAGCCGCAGACAGCTGGGGATCGGGATGGGGATAGCCCCTTTCATCACTCCGGAGCTGGAGCGAGAGCTCAGTTCATCCCTGAACCAGTCCAAGAATCAGACGCAGATCCACAGTGCTGTGGCTGGCAGCAGCTCCAGCAAGAGTTCAGGCCTCCCTTCGTCATCCTCGACCCCAGCTGGAGGTGTGAGCCAGACCAGCCCCAAGCCTGCCTCATCTCCAGCCAGGCAGCCACGTCCCCTAACCTCCAGGTCTGGAGGGGAACCCCTTGGATCCAGCTCCTCAGCAGAGGCGGCCACCACAGCTGCAGCGTTACCCCACAGTGGTGCCTCTGAGCTGGGATCAGCATCTGCCAGCAACACCCATTCCACAGGAAACACTCTGTCGTGCACTCTGTGTCATGAGAGGCTGGAAGACACACACTTTGTACAGTGTCCATCAGTGCCCGGGCATAGGTTGGTTCTGTTTTCTATTTAGGTCTTTTTAAGGTTGCATATTGAAGTGAACAGCCTAAAAACATTTGTTATATATTTTTCTATTTTTAAAATACTTGGTTTTGAGACGAACTACCAATTCAAGAATGCTTTCTTATTTCTTATTACAATAAGTTATTGAAATATGTATAAGTGGATGTTATCTCTCACAGCAATGCGTAATAATGTATTCTTTAACTCCACCAAATGTAGGTTCTGCTTCCCCTGCACCAGAGTGTACATCCAGAGCCGGCGGGGCGATGGGGAGGTGTACTGTCCCAGCGGGGAGCGCTGTCCGTTGGACACGTCTCCCAACAGCCCCCCTTGGGCCTTCATGCAGGGAGAGGTCTCCACCATCCTGGGCTCTGGAGGAGCAGGAGCTGCATCAGCTGCTGCTCCTGGAGCTGGGAACGGGCCCGGGCCGGGAGCTGGGCCCGGGGCCGGGGGCGGAGCTGCCAGCGGAGACGTCACTGTCAAAAAAGAAAGGGAGACGTGATGGGGATTTCCATGGAAACCAAGCCAGGACCTAACACAGCAACAGGCAGGTCCACAGACGTCTGAGCAGCTGTACACTGAGAGCAGCTGGCATAGTGAGGCTATTTCATGAGAAAGCAGCTTAGTTTACTCCAATGTCTTTTGGGATATTGGTATAACAAATGTAGACGAACAAATAAATGAATAAAGGGGTTTTAGAGAGGAAGATATAAAACATTATTAGTCTGCATATATGTTGCATGACAACATCTCTTTCATTGAAGTGTTGTAACTGTATTTATTTATGTTCAACAAGATTTGGCTAATCTAGATCACACTGCTTTGATGGTAGGTGGTGTCACTTGGTGTAATTCTATGTTTTAGGTTTGCTTTTTGTTTCTCCACAGTCACAGCATACCAGAAGGAGGCGTCTGCAATGGAGCTCTGAGAGATCCAGAGGAGAAGCACCACAGCTCAGAAAACATTCACAGGTCTCGACTCCAACTACTCACACCACCAAATTCTATTGACTATTCTATCAATGATCAGACCTGAAATGCCTGTATGATGTACTGTTGGAATCAGATATTCAGGGCCAATCAGCAGTGGCTACTTTTTGTCAAGTTACTTGTAGTTGTGCCAGTTGAAACAACTGATCACGCCCACATTAGCACTGCCAGCTAGCTACTGTTAGCAGCTGGAAATCAATGGGCTGAAGCAACACATATTTTTCAACAGGAGTTTTCTACAATCCACACAACTTACAACTACATTACAATAACTCTAAAAATGCTGTAATGACATTCAATATATTCTCACTACATGTTGAATAAGCACCTTAAGAAACAACCAGTGCCAACAGGACTACTGAACTCTATATATAGCTACTCACCAGTGTATTCATATATCATTATCATTGATTTGATCTGCTAAAGGTAGCTAGCATAGCAGCAGAAGGTAGCTTGTTAGCAGTATAGCAATGTTTTTTGTTTCAAATTACCCTTCTTAAACTCACAGAGAGTAGCCATGGTCCACAGTTTTTTGCCAGAAAGCACAAAAGCTTATTTTGAGGAATCCAACACAAATGCTGTACTGAAATAGCAGCCACGGTTGTTCTATATATCTTTCTCTTGATGATCAAATGTTTGCCGGCAGCATGCAGTGGAAACCAGTTAGAACTAGCCATTGTCTCTGCCAGTGCTTGATCCAAACAAAACATTTGTGCGTACTACGAATGCAATTCACGTGAACAACTGACCGTAAAATCCATAAAATGGACCGTTATAATGAAAAGTGTACCTTAAATTTGAAAGACAGATGTAATATGTTTTAATGTTATATGACTGAATCTGTGTCCTGCCATACAACCTTTTTTTTCCTAGAAAATAGTAAAAAAAAATCCTGTAAAACAACATGAAATATGGACATAATGCCAGTAATGACATTTCTCTTTTTGTGTTTTTTGTTTTTTATGTCGGCGTTAAATAGAGCTGACAGTGACGCAGAGAAAGGAGAGTGTGTGGGAGCATAGACCAGCCTCAGAGACTCGGTGTGTGTAACTGTATCTAAATGTTGCTTTCATACAAGATCCAGCCCAGCCTACGCTTTACCCCGAATGTATATTGAAGATATCTATTGATAGGCCTAGGACTGTTTTATACTAGAATGTTCAATGTTAGTATATACTGTATAGATCTAATAGTTTGTGCAATCCTTAGTCATATGCAAACGTTTGTAATTAAAAATGATTGTTTATCATTTCTTAAAGATTTAGTTCTTTTAAAAGTTAGAATCCACCTAAAAGCAGAATTGTTGTTTCTCCCAATGGACACAAGACTTCCGATCACATTATTGGAACGCAGTCCATATTTAAAAATATATATATATATATTTTCATGGTTGAACTCAGCACATGGTGACATTAATTATCTTCATTTGAATAAATCACCGTCTTCTGGAATGTGCTTTCCATTCACATCCATAGAACCATTCATGGATGATCACACATACTGTAAATCAGACTTTTTTTTGCCAGAGAATGTACAAATATTGAATGTTCATGAATTGAACAATCCAAAATTGGTCACATTTTATACAAATTAGCTTTTCGGGGGATTCTTTCTTTATGCTCTACATGTACTCGACAGTACAGAAGCACAGACAAACCAAAGGTAACTGTACGCCCAAATTGATGTTTCTGGATGTAAATGTTTTATGGAAATCTTTTCTTCATCAAGCCGTTACAGTTTACAGGTCCACGTGGTCTACTGTAATTATGGGATTTCATATTAAAAGTCTACAGTATGCAGCAAATACTGTTATATTGATAAGAGTATCCCACAGATCAGGTGTGTTGAAGAAAAAATGTATTTGAAGAAGTGGAATTTCAGTTTAATATGCACTGATACGTCATGCAATCCCTTGTTAAGTGCCTTTTTAAATGTTTACCGTCTGTTTGTGTGTCTGGGAACCTCAGGGGAAGTGCAGTGGCTTTTTTTATTGTTTGCTCAATGATTAACCTGTGTCCCTGCTGTCGCCATCACACGGCTCTGCTTTGATCGGAGCCTTTGTAAAGGGGCCAGCCATTCATTGTCCTGATACGGTCTCTCCTCACATCTCTTCCTTTTTTATGTGTCATCTCTAGATCTGTTGGCTTTATTGCAGCTTCATGTACAAAATAGAAACCAGGAATAAACGGGATGGAAACTTGCACCTCTTTTCTCGTTCTTGAGCTGAATATTTAGTCCTGTTAAATACTGAGGACAACTTTCATCAAGATACAAATGTGTCATGACTTAAATAATGATTGATTACAAACTTTACTAGACACATTTCCTGATAAACCCAGCGTAATATCTTATTTCTCATTGAGCTCAGTTGATTCTCTGAACACAAGTCCAGTATTGATTTTGTAATCTTGCATTACCTTGGATACAGGGACCATAGCTACAATTGATTTTGGACACATGTTTAATGACATGTGGAGTTCACAGTACACTGACCCATTCATGACACATTTTGGGGCATTCATATTCAGAGCATTCAAAGTATTAAGATCTCTTCACTTTTTCCACATCACAGCCTTAGGATTACTTTATTTAAATTAATTGTGGCCATTTTTTAGGTACTATCATAGCATTTGATAAGTATAATTTACTTATTTTTAAGTTATCAAGTCACGTAGTAAAGAAATAAACGTACACAACCCACATTGGAACCAGACAACCAGAGAAAAAGCCTAACTTGACATAACTGTATCCAACACCACAGTGCATCACACAGTAAGGACTTCAGCTAATCGGTTTAATAACTGCTCCCTCTGAAACGTTCTCTTTGCGTGCTGCCTCAAATTCCATGAGGATCATTCTCTCTGATAATAAGGGTCTGCTGTACTCAATGTGGCGGTGCAAGAGAAGCATCAGAACAACCAAACAGCACCATACATGCACAGGTCCAATCTGTCATTTGTAAATGTTTCAATATCAAATAAAGATATCCTGCTAACAAGGACAAGACCAGAAAATAGTGCCTTTTTTGTTAAAAGTGAAATGTGTTACATTGTGTTATTTTCTTTGAATTTAGGTGATCTGTGTATTAGTTAATTTACTTAAATGGATCCTCCCCACACTTCCTCTGTCAACTCCACACCAGATGTAATGTGATACACCACTTCTGCCAGTGTATCTACTTCCATGACCATTCTCAAAAAAAAAGGTATTTCATTGTGTGCAGGCCTTTAACCTTGCTTTGCTTGCGTTATTTTTAAACACAAATGGAGATTTAATCCTTTAGTTGTAGAATATGTGCTACTTTTTTAACAGAACACAGAGAAGTCCATGTGTGATACAAACCATTGAGTCTTGAACTTGGTCCTGCTGGCTTTCATCATGGACATGCAACATGGTTTATTACAAATGAAATATCCAGGTGTTACATTCAGTTACTCCATAGGAGCATCAGTGTATGTGTAATGAATTGCATTTCAGTTCATTTTCTTTACCGTTGTGTTTTGTGTCTTCCCGTTACTGTATTTAGTCCTGGTTTGATTCTTTATTAAGCATATTGTAAATATGTGTTATACCTTTAAAGGCAACTTCATTCTAACTCATTCAGGTGTGGCTTATCTATTTGGTCCATATACCTAATTTACAGAAAATGAAAGCTAGGTTTTCAGTTAAAAGGGTAAAATGTTGAATTATGTTAACTAAACTCAGAGGATCACATCTTGATGGATTACCACAGACTGGTATAGTTTAGTCAGTTACTGTGTTGAAACCAATACAAATATGTAATGGCAGCACATATGACACAAAAGACATTTTCATTTATTTATTGGAAATTATTATTTTGTTGCAATCAGATGAAATAACCCCTTATTTAATTTCGATATTATTTATTTTAAGAACAGGCTGAATTTGACCCGAGGACAACTGTTCAGTCTTTCCAGACTTTTGAGAAAAAAAAGCTTCTGCAGGTTTTCTGATTTCTGGCCACCAGGTGGCGCTTTTGTGTTGATTCTGTCTGAAAGAACAGAGTCTGTCTGGCACCACGTCATGAATTCTGTGTGATAAAGCCGCTCATTTTATCATGAAGAATAAGAGGGGGGGGGGGGGGGTTAATTATTCCTCCCCACCGGCCGCCTGCTCCTCGGCTGATCTGTCGTTTCCTCCATTAGCCCAGCTTTTGTTAAAGCAATTATAGAGGTGTTAATGGACGGTGGAGGGCCCATTGGCATGAAAAGCGGCCCGCAGAGAGGATGTGTGTTGGAGAACATGGAGGACCTTAAAGGAGCATTACACCAACCTCAGATGCGTATTTAGAGACAGCTGGATGAGTCATGGCCGAGATACAGAGCTCAGCCCTCAGTGTGTGGGACAAAAGTAAATACACCCTGTTCAAAGAGCATCCATCTGAACACATATTGCATGATTATCATACGATCAGATAACAGTAAATAAATACAAAAAATCAACACAACATCATCTCCACTCTCCAGTTATTCTCTATAATCACCGGAAGTAGTAATTAGTGTATTCCAGGAGAGCAGACCCACAATCCCCTGAAGGCAACACATTTCTATTTATGTAAAGCTTTGAAACTCCTGTGTTGGAGTTTAGTTTTTGTTTTAGAATTGTGGTTAAAGACCTGTTGGTTGCTGATATGGGAATTAATTCTGCTGTCAGAATGGATAAAACATTAATATAAGCTTGGGTTAGGGTTAGGTTGTTTACTTAGAGGACCATCCTTTGCTTGAATCTATCTGTTCAGTTTTTAAATATATCACATAAACCAAATGGTATAACTTCTGTAGAAATGTACCTCACACAGGCGAATCAATCCCTCAAACTACTTGATATGTTGTTTGTCATTATTGTTTGTGTACTCGTTATGATGATTATGATGATCATAAACTGGAAGTCACAGCTTTAAGCATGAAGAAAGCTCCTCTCCCAGGCTTAATTACATCATTACAGACACTGAGGTGTTAGCTCATTCCAAGTGTTAATCGATCTGACTGCGTTTTGCAAACAGGCGATACTCGCCGAGTGATGGCCTGCAGAGAATACCTCTGATTATGGCTATATGTTGTGTATAGGCCTATATATAGCTATACACGATGTTCTTATTATTTACCATCAAAGGATCAGCCAGTGAACCACCATTTTATAAAAAGGCAGGACACATGATGGCTGATCATTTGATGGTAAATAATAAGAAAATCGTCCTCTGGTTGATTTGTAAATGGATTTAATCCTCAATATTTTTCCCCGTGAAGGCAACACGACCAAAGCAAGAGATGCACCAATCATGGTCTTAACATGAAAACACTTTACAGATATAAAATGCACCGGGTGATGCTTGTGTTGGTGCATCTGCGCGCTCATGTGCCTTCCTGTTATTTCTTATTTCCTCGAGATCTTTTCTCACAGTCTAATCCCGTCGCCCTCCCGCCTGCGCATCAATTACATGTCCATTGACTGGCCATTAGGCAGAGGCATTGACATTCACAGGCCTCCGTCTGCAGCCAGGCCGATGTGTATTCCAGCACACAGGAGCCAGGGCTATATGCATTACAGGATCTCATTATTTATTATGATTCTCTGCGACGGCGCGCCGCGAAGGCCTCTTTGGAGAGAAAAGGTTCCCATGGAAAATGGTCACAATTACGCACGATTGATCCAAGAGAACTGCTTCCTTTCAGTGTATGTGTGTACCTTTAAATGTTGATGGTGAGTTTACTTTATTGCAGTGGCACATGTGTGGCAGAATGCATCAGTATGTGAAGGGTTATTATCAGTGTGGGAACCTCGAGGGGTTCTCTGATTGGATCTCTGATGTTCTGATATTCAAATATTTCCCTGACTATCTGAGAATTAGGAAAATATTTGACTATCTAACCCCAGAACATGTAATAAGTTTGGCGGTTGCTCCAATTAAACCCTCAAAGAACGCAACACATTCATATTCAGTTTGTAGGCTGGGTTCATAGAAGTGATAGCCGAGGGAATTAACAACTTTCACCCCCTCAACACACAAAACACACAAATACAGACGAACCCACGCAGACACGTCACAAAACAGACTCTCTTTACCAAAAACGTATTCAAGATAGTATTTGTTCCAAAAATGCAATATTATGTGGAACAAGTCGTATCATTTCCTTTTTGGAAATGTAATTGTATTTCCAAAGCTGCAGAATACAATTGAAAAATAATGAATGTGTTATGGTTGAAAGGAAGCACCATTGCATCATTTGGGCAAAGTATTTAATTGATCCCATTTATAGAACAAATATATAATCAAAACCGGTTTGATTATTAACTTGAAAGCATGTTAATAGCGTGTGTTTGGGGGGGGGGGGGTTGTTTGTTTATGTGTTGTTTTACAAGTATGAGTGGGGATGCAATATTATTGAATGACAACCAGTTTTCATCAACTTTGTTATTCTTTGATTAATGTATTTCTCGTATTTCGGTATCATTTTCTTTTTTTGAGCAAGTGATGTGATTTTGTGTCATGATGACGTAATGAATGTAATGTAATTAAATCCCTAATCATTTGGTAAACATTAAATTATACCAATAAAAGCAATTAATGGGAACTTTGCTGCTATTTTAAAAGGAAAAAACTCTCCTCAGCTGGGAACTGAAGGATTATGGGACGGTCGCAGGTCCGGGTGGCCCCGCTGCAGCCGCCGGCCAATATACAGCACGCCAGGGGGCCACATCGGCCTTTTTGCGGGGCCCTTCCTGGATCCTAACACGGTATTGAAATGTCAGGAGTGGGGCGGGCCCCTTCGGCTCCCTATAAGAAGAGGCGTTCAGGTCCCTCTGCTGTATTTGCGCGCTACACCTCCGCCTGCACGCTGCGTCCCGAGGCCCCCAGACAGGAAGAAACGGGCCACCAGAACATCTGCAGACATAACAAGAATATGTTATGAAACAATGGATGCCTGACCAATAAGAAATATTGACTCTATTATTCCCAGGAGCAGAGCGTCACACCATCTCATTTCTCGAACTTTTGATTCTTCCTAGATATTTTCTCCGCGTTTCTTGGCAAAAGGAGACATCTGTCTGCTTTGGGATTTTTTTCCCCCAGAAAACTTCCAATTTTGTGAAGGATTTTATATTTATTTTCTAGATAAAAGAACGGTCATAGAAACTTGATTCTCCTCCAAAGACTTGTGTTGGGGATGTTGAGCTCTGT